ACCTACTGATCTCCCTTTATGATGCACTAAACCAGAACAGAAGGTGGTGTATTGGGTTCTTAGAGGTAGTATTTCAAAATACAACCCTTTTAACATTTGGATCTCGCTTCATGGGCCCTCTAGTGGGCCTTGCTTATGCACACAATGCATTGTTGCCCATTTGGTCGATCTCGATCATCATCGGTCATTGCACAACTAGCTCTTCTCAAACGTTTATCCGTCTTCCCACATGTATGCACACATGTAAATTGATGTTTATGCTTCCCTATTGTATCATACTAAAATATTATGACGATTGAAATGCAGGTCACGAGTATGTGGTTTCCTCTGTACGCTTTTCTCTTTCTTGAGGCCAACATGCAAGATTGTCTTGATTTCATGTTGGCTCATGGGATGTTCCAACAATGGTGGACAGTCAATTGATGTGGCTCATACTAGGTCTCTCATCATACCTTTTCGGATTCATCGAATTCTCGATCAAACGCCTTGGGATTGCATCGAAAGGGTTCCACGTAGGTGAACAAATCAAGCGCAACAATGACGGAGTTTTCATGTTCGATGTCCCGTTGTCGATGTTTGTGGCTTGCGATCACGAATTTCGTCGCATTTGCTTTCCCGACAATGCAAATTTCAAAAAAAGGAAATATGGATGGGCTTTTTGGGAAAATGGGCTTGGCTTGTTTAGGGGTAGTGAACTCTTGGCCCGTTTATCAAGCCATGGTATGGAGGAGTGGTAATGGGAAAATGCCTAGGGTTATAACAGTAATTTCAACATTTCTAGCATTGAGTTTTTACACGATGGTTTTGGTTGTACAAAATTAATAAACGTTTTGTAAAACCAAAACCAACGTTTACAAACACAATGCTAGAAATATTGAAATTACTATTATAACCCTTGGCATTTTCCCATTATCACTCCTCCACACCATGGCTTCATAAATGGGCCAAGAGTTCAGTAATCCTAAACAAGCGAAGCCCATTTGCCAATATTCCAAAAAAACATTGATAAAGAAGCATATTAGAATATACCAGAAAGATACTCGTGCAATGTAGCGAGATACATCGAAATAATGTTGTGTTTTATTTTTTTTGTCTATGTCGATATAATACGGTTTTATGTGATTTTGAGAAAGCAATAATGTTTATATTCATAAAAATTTGATAAAAAATACATCGATATTATTATTAAATTAACTATTTAAAATTTCTCGTTCTGTATGTAGTTTCTTTAATTCAAAATTTTTATTATAATTTAATTTATGTTTAATAACGAAGTAATTTATTTTTGTTTTAACGATATAACTTTTATAAGAAAAATAATTAAGTATTATGTTATAAGTGTAACTCAATGATTATCCAAATTATATTTTATATTTTTTATATTTAAAATGAGATGTTTATCCTATAGTTGATCATGTTTATTTGCAGTTAGTTACACGAATTCAAACATGAAGCTTTAATAAGTCGTAATTACACACAATTTACTTGTAACCTTGAACTTCAAGTAATATGCATCAATAAACAGTACTTCATGCATAAAAAATAATTTTTAAGAGTTTTTGTCAAATGCTTTATAATATAATATAAATTAGAAAACACCACATCTTTTTTTACAAATTACATGTTGTAAAAGCTTTGTTATACCTTCAAAATGAGCCAAATATTAAAGTTAATCATATATTTAATATTAACATAAAAAATTAACATCTTTTTAACCAGTATGCATGCATGACAACTGCAATATTTAATTTGCATACAATTTAATAAAAGTAATTTTTTTAAAAAGACTGATGAAAAACATAATCTCAGGTGGGATATGAATCACCGGGAGAGAAAATGAGAAAACCACTAAAAAAATTTAAAGATGTTTTTATTTTTTTTATTTTTTAGTATGTAATCAGAATGAAATGTTATCCACATTACCTCATTTAAGCTATGTAAGCAAAAATTAAATGGTTAACAGATTTAAAAAAGGTGATAGGTTACCATGGTTATATTGGGGAGATTCTTCAAAATGCGATGCCTTGAAAATATATTAACAGTACATTGTTGTAATAAGAAAAAATGAGAGTACATTATTTATAATAATAAAATTTATAAAATTAATTTGCTATTTCTTACATTTAATCCTTAAAAAAATGTGTTTGTTAATACAAGTTACTAAATAAAAATTAGGGTATATTTCAAATGCAACTATGTCTATTTGTACACCCAGTGCAACTCAATCAATTAAGATATTTATGAAAATGACGAGAGTTCATTTATTGTTATTTGAATATTTATAGAAGATGACTAGAGTTCATTAATTATGATCAATACTTTATATTAGAAAACAATCAAAACTTTTATGAAATCACATATTAATCAAATTAAATGAACGATTGAGATTGAGTTATATTGATTGTACAAATGTAAATGGTTGTATAATAACTCGTCTCATAAAAATTAAACCCATTGAAATGAGATAAGTTACAAAATCTTATTGAAAAAAAAAGATTATATTTAAATATGAAAATCCTTATTTAGTTAATATATTAAATATTTTTTAAAAAAAATCGGACTTATTATATAAGGCAGGGACGAACTCAAATGTTTTTCAAACGTTGGCTTCATTTGACTGTAAGAAAAAAAAATATAGGGAAAAGATTTTAAACGGTGGCACCGTTTGACTATAAGAAACAAATATACATAATTTTTTTTTTCAAAATATGGCACCATTTGACTAAAAAATGACACTAACAAGATTCAAACTTGGGTCTGGGGTGGAATAAAAGTCTTGCAAATCAACTATACCAAATAAAACTTGTTCTCATTATAGTTTCAAAGTACATATGTTGACATACAACAAATTAATACAGTTACACATTTCACGAATCTAATTTTTTTACCCTTCGATGGAGGAATAATATAGTGACACGTGTCACCGTATGCCCCATAGTAGGTCCGTCCATGATATAAGATCTTAATTTTCGAACGCTTAGGCCAAACTTTTAGCTGATATATCCAATCGTATTGAGAAAGAGTACCAAACTAAATTCAATACACAACCGTTAAAAACGATAATTGATATGTTCGGCAACCATTAAAGTAAGATCGAAAACGTGTTCAATAGCCTCAATAATCACACACTATTGTTGTAAATGATAACCAAAACCACAATGGTGGTGTCCGATTGGTTTGAGCTTGGGCTCCAAAGGTCAAAAGTGTCTGAAGGTCGCATGTTCAAATCCAATGAGGAATAAAAATCTCTCTGTGGCCACAGAGGTTCAAATGCTGTGACTCTGGGCTACCCGCGAAACGGGTGGGTCACAAAAAGTGTATTCACGTAAAATAAAATCTCCGTTATCCTAGGGGTGTGTATATATTTATACACACACACACACATACACACACTAGAAGTGTATTCACGTAACAGTATGCAATATATTTATATTTTTATTTCATCTCCCTCGGTTTTGTTTTATGAACTTGTGTGGTTTTCAGAGGGCGAGAGTAGTCTAATATCAGTTAATGGAGTATTTTGGTGTGTTATTCAATGCTTATCTCATATTTGAATTTATTTATCAGTTGGTTAGGGTTAATTTTATGAATTTTAAACATACTAATAAGCTATACATACGTAATAATAAGATGTAAAATATTGTATAATAGAGTGAAAATATTGTATGTGTATATACATATATACATATAAATATATATATAGGGGCCTAATCAAATGAGAACTAATTAGTTTGTGGTAACCGTGAGAACCAATCTCAACCACAAATCAATAGATAAATTAAGAAATTTATAATTTTTTGGTAATTTTGAATTAAAATTTTAATGCAATGACATTTTAGGTATTTTCTCTCCTCTTTCCTACATCTGTCCTCAGGCCACCGTCCTCCGGTGATAACATAATGGTATCACAATGCATCTTATATGTGCTTGGATATTACACTGAGGTCGTTTGTATGGTCGATCAGAGATGTAACACAGTGGTGTATCACAATGCATTTTATATGTGCTTGGGTATCACACTGCGTCTTTTGTTTAACAGAGTCAATATTTTTAGGTATCACAGTGGTATCACGGAGGCCGGAGGCAAGAGGACGGGGGACGGAGAGAGAAGAGAGGAGAAAGGAGAGAAAATACCTAAAATGTCTTTGCATTAAAATTTTAATTCAAAATTACCATAATTATAAATTTTCTAATTTATCTATTGATTCGTGGTTGAGATTAGATCTCACGGTTACCACAAACTAGTCAGTTATCTCTTGAGTGGGTCCCTATATATATATATATATATATATATATATATATATATACACACACACACACACACACATA